AAGAGAATGTAAGTGCTCTGAAACTGGATGAAGTGTTGTATTAGAGACATATGGATGATATACAAATACTGAGATTGTATGGAAGAATATTGGAAGACGTTCTGTTTCAAAATCTAATGATACTGCTGAAATCTAGTGGTATTAGGCTGATACTATCAGCTGATTTGGAGGTAGGGTTTGGTGTCTTGATAGACTTTTAGGGACTGATGAGGTAGATTGAATTTGGTAGAGGGAAGAGGTGCTGAGACAGTAGTGGTATTGTCAAAGCAGTGGTGTAGGAAGATGGTCTGAGTGCAGAGGGTGGGGTGAGCTAATGTTAGCTAATACCAGAGTAATGACAAGTGAGAGCCTAGACAAGTAGTTTAGCAAGAAGCTACTTTGTCTGTAGGTAGAATCTTTTCCAGATGAATGGCGTTAAGGCCTGAATATGGTTTAAAGAAAGTCAGCTAAGAGGGTCAAAGTAGTTGAGTTGTGGTGAAGTTGGTGATTTGTGATTCTTCTGTAAGAGCTGCTTAGACTCAGTTCTACAGTTCTACAACCCTGGATGCTGTCAGTCCTCCAGCCTCCTTCAGTTTTGCATAGTCAATCCTGAGTTTAAAGCTGACCTTATCTAGATTAAATTATACAAGGTGCTGATTTACTGTCATGATTTGAGCTCAGAGGGAAACTGAGCACCACGCATCTGCTCATTCCCCTCTTCACCCCCCCCAGCACTGAGAAGGGGAAAATAAGCAAAGACGCTGCTCACTCCCTCCTTCCTCCCCAGGGCTGGGAAGGAGGAAAGCAAAGGGCCCAGAAAATTGAGATAAGGACACAGAGGCTGACATCATCCTTTGAGGCACAGGCAAACAACAGACTCATTAGGGGAAGAAAAAACATAAAATTTAATACAGATACAACAACACTTAACAGACAGAGCAGGACCGTGAGAAGCATTACCACATCTTGAAAACACCTTCCCCCATCCTTCCCTCCTTCCTAGGCTCAGCTTTGCTTCAGATTTCTCTACCTCCCCCCCTCGCAGTGGTGCAGGGGGCAGGAAATAGGGGGTGCGCTCAATCCTGCCACTTCTTCCACTTCAGGGCAGGGGGAAGTTCTGGCATTTCTGCTCTGTTTCAGCCTGGTCCACCTCTCACAGGAGAGAGTCTTCCACAAACCAACTCCAACATGAATCCCTCCCATGGGTGTGTGGGCCACCCCCATGTGTTGCAGTCCTCCCGGTGCCCAACTACAACAGCAGGGGCTTCTTCCTATAGAGCCTTGGTCAGGTGCAGTCACCTGGTGTGGGGCCCCCACAGGCTGCAATCAGTATCTCCTCCACCAGTGACCCCCCTGGGTGGCAGGGAGGGGTGGCCCTGCTGTCTCACCACAGGATACAGGGGAGTCTCTGCTCTGGCACATCTTCTCCCCTTCTCTTTTCTTCCACTGACCAGTGTTTGCACAGATGTTCTCCTCACAATTTCTCCTTACAAACTCCCACAACTTCTCCCAGGTTCCTCTTCTTAAATACATTATTGCAGAGTTCCAGCCTTTGTGCAAAGGTGGGTCTGACTTGGAGCTGGGGGAGCTTCAAGAAGCTTCTCACAGGGGGCCACCACTGTAGCCCTCTCTCCTGCTACCAGAAAAATCCCTGCCACTGACTCAAACCAGAACATATAAGAAGATAGTATGTTATTATTGACCAAACATTGACTTCTTTCCCTGCTTTCAACAAATCTTGAAGGGGAGCAAATATGTTTTTTATTAACATTTAAAAGGAGGCAGGAGCTCTGCTTCTGTCTGCCAGAGATGGATATAGGTGTTTCTATGTAGTAACAGGAAATAAGACCCATACACGCAAATACTCTTTCCTCATTACCCTCTGTGTAGTTGAGAGTTGGATACCACACTAGAGGAAAACAGTAAAAGTGAAGCTGGCTACCTGAAGATGACCCATGACAAAGAGGGATTAGCTTTGCAAAATGACTGAGATAGTTATCCTCACCTCTGCTTTTTTTTCCTCCTGCCCCACATCCTTCTCCCCATGCTGAGGCTCTTGTTCTAGTTGTGCCTTCCTTAAGGAACAGATTCTGTCCAGGTGTATAGTAAACCAAGACTGTGATGGATGTGAAGGACAGAGATGAACTCTTCCTTTCTCCTTCTACCCCTAGGAAATAAAAAAAGTTGTCTTTCCCTCTGCCCCTATATCAGCAACTTTGGAAATGTCTTTCCTGAGGCAGCCTGTGTTTCTTTTAACCAGTCACCTCTTTGTCAGTAAAAAGGTAATGGGTAAGTATGTAATTGCTAGCAGCCTCTCCAATTTTTTCTTTTGTGTCCTGAAGTAGCCCAATATAAAGCATTGCTGAAACAGCACTAACATTCATTACTCTTGAAAGAACGATGGGCTAAGAGTCAAGCAGCATATTGTCATGTGATTTATTTCTTTTTTAAGCCATCTAGGTGATGGTTATGCTACTGTGTTATCAGAAATATGGATCACTTCCTTCCTGTAATGCATAGCAAATCAATACTGTAATCCAGAAGGCCTTCCTTGTCCACCTCCTACTACCTTCCTCCCTAATCTGTATTGTTTTGGGGGCACTGGGAGGGTGGAGTTGCAATCCACAGGAAGCTTGCTGCTGGCAGTATTCTTCTAGGCAGTGGTAAATTCCACTGTGCTTTGTGATTTCTCTGTAGCAAACTCTGCAAGGGGTTTCTGCTGTTTCTGGATGGTGTGTTAGTGGTTCAAAGGTATATGCAGGAGCCTTCCTATTCAGCTAGACAAGATCCTTGCAGAAGACATTTGGAGGGATTTTTATGGACCACATTCCATACCGAGTGTCTTTCACTGCTAATTTCCAGCCCTTGCTGGAGCAGGGTGTGCTGAGAGTATTTTTACAGGTTGGTTAGGATATCTCTCACTTTTTGTGAAGGAAGGAATTAGTTTGGCTACTAACACAACAGTTTCCATCCTCATTGGGCTGTGAAGAAATCTGTCTTGGTGGATCTTATCCATCTCTTCCATGGTCTGGGGGTTAAGCAAAGTAGTCATTAGTAATTTCTTCTTTCTTTCAGGTAGGTAAATACAATCTAGGGAGGCAGATGATAGGTGGGTATGATCTAGGAGAGAAAGAGATTTATTTTTTTTTCCTTAAGACACACTGATATAACTATAAACCACAAAATCATATCTCTGAGACCTTCCATGGGAGCTTAAAAGCCCCAACGACTCCCTTTGTCATAACAGCTGGACAGGTTTTGGATACCTCCCCATGATGTCCATATAGCCAGAGCATGTTAGCTTCACTACAGAAGTAATAAGGATTTTTCATTTTCTCTGACACAGAAAGAGGCCCTGCAAGGAAAAAATCAAGCAGCAGCTGTGTTCAAGTTCAGTTCCATTGTAGTCTTGTAGCTGTGACAAAAGCAAAATCCAGGAAGAGGTTGGTATGGAGTACACCTAGAAATAAAGGAGTCAAAAGTTAGGAAATGCCTCTGCTAATGTTATTAGGATTTAAGTATTTACATTGGGTTTGAATCAGTGGTGTGGCTAGGAAAACCAGTAGGAGGAAAGGAGTACCTTGAAGAGAGTCATCTATTTTTCCCTTCTCATCAGTGAGAGGCAACACCAGAACGAGGTTGATTTGGTTTTGCACTGACTTCAGCCAACCTGCAGAATTGGTTTGAATCGAGGAAGAAAGAGACTTGCAAGAAGAGCTGCAGCTAGACTTAGGGAAAAGCTCCTTAGAGCTGGTTTGGGAAAGGACACTGCAGCAGCTCGCTAGGTATCAGGAAGAAATTGCAGAGGCCTGCCCTGCTAAAGTGTGGCAGAAAGATGACACATGACAACAGGTATCACACAGGCTGCTGCAGACCCTTTTCCCTGATGTGCTTTTTTACCTATTAAAATAAAAACTGTTCTTGTTTTTTGAGAAATTGGTGCATGAAGGGGAAACCCAGGAGTTCCAAAAAAACTTCTCAGAGGGTTTTCAGTGCTTTTAAAGCAAAACCACAGCTCTCTATGCAAGACCTAAACAGATGGAGGATCCCTTTTGAGAAAGAAAAGATTTTTAGCTGGAAATCATTCTCATAGAGTGGTCCCTCAGTGGCCAGTAGAAACGCTGGCTCACCTCCAGAAGCTCTGCATCGTTTACCTCTTCTGATTCCTTCTCCAGAAGGAGGCTCTGCAGGGCTCAGCTCTGGACATGACGTAATGGAGTGATGCTTTCTCCTATTCTTCTCATGCTGTCTGCTAAAGAATTGTCTATTTGGAGGGGGATCTCTGTCTGTTTTATGTATTTGTAAAAGAAGTCATGGACTAATCCCCTACAGCTTCTCACAATGATTTAGTTCCCTTCCTGTTCTTAGTTTCATTTACTAGTTTTCTGTGGGCCAGTGACATATTTTTCTCCTCTTCTATACAAAATGGCTGCAATTTGTAATAAAACATGTTGCAGTTCTTTACTGCTTCCCATCACTCAGTGTTGTTAATGAATTATCTTCGTAACGTCCTTTGACTTGAAAATAGGAGATGTTTCCATCCGTAGCTCGCAGACATAGGTATTGTAGTGCTTGGACAGATCACTTATCTTTTACAAATATTTGGATGTTTTTAAAAATTCCAAGGAGAAAAGGCCAACTGTTTGGTCTCTGCTTTAATTCTGCACCAAGGAATTGCTGTAATTTAGGCTTGAATTTTGAATTATGACTCTAGGATTGAAGGTGAATGGATTTTAAAAAGGTGCTGTAGTCGAAGGACCCTTTGCCTTTTCCGGCAGCTGGAGCCTGTTTCACATGAGAAGCTTTCAAGGACTAATCTGTAGCTGGTAGAAACTGGCAGTTCTGATTCCTTCCCCTGCTCCCCACCCTCTGCTTCTAAGCCCAGCAAGAGTAAAAGGGCAGCTTTTATTTTGGCTTTACATTACATTGTGTTTTGGGTTTCTATTCAGGTCTGTCAAACATTGCACCGTGGTATTTGAGCAAAGTTCTTTTGCATACAGGGGAAGTTGGGACTGTTAATTATGAATAGCACTAAAAGTAGCGCAGTTACCCAGGAACATGAAGAGGAAGTTGCCTCAGGATCCACACGTTTTAAGATTGCTACACGTGCCAAGAAGGCTGTTAAGCCTGTTCTCTATGTGATTGCTGGAACTGTGAAATTTTGGACAGAAAGTGATTAAATGACTGCCATAGTTCTAAATGTGCATTTCTGTGGTATGGTTTGCATTTGTTTTACTTTTTCCTCTGGCTGCTTTCCTTATTCTGCTGCCATTAGTCCACACCTCATTATATGCTCCTAGAGAGTGCATCCCTCTTGCTTGTTAGGGTGGTGTAGGTGGTAATTTGCAGTGGTACAAAGTGCTGAAGGAGAGATAATCAGCTGGGTAAATCATTACTCTGTGCAGAGACCAACTTGCTGTGCACAGCTTGCTTACCCCGCATTGTTTAGGACCTACAATATTGTAGTAATTGAAAACGTAATAGAAAATCTTTAACTTGCTTAGCAAAAAAAAGGTATGGCTGAATGATTACTACATGGTGATATATTGTCCTATCCTAGTAAAAGCTGTAAGTTGAGGGTCTTGGCCACTAGTGTATCCAATAGAGCAAAGCTCAACACGGTACCCTGCACTAAATAGCCTTAACACAGTGCTGGATTGCCTCTCATTTTCTTTCTCAAATATCTTACCCTGAACCCATGTCAAGGTATAGACAGTTCTTTTGCCATGATCTGACGTAGCTCTGGTTACCATGTAGCAGTTCCTAATACTTTATGATAAATGTTTGTAACATTGGTTTCTTCTTTCCTAAGCAGTGTTTTCTTTCTCTTATTTTTTCCCAGCTATCCATTGCAATCTGAATCCAAATGGTATTGATCACCCTGTCCCCACAGAAGGTATTAATCTGCAACTTGAAGGTGAAGGAGTTGAATCGCCCTCTGTTAAGAACACTACTAGTCCAAAAGGGCCTGAGTCAAAAGAGACACCCAAGAGACAGGTGGAGCCAGAAATATCTAAGGTAGGTAGGACTGGATTCTTATTTATTTTGGTGAGTCTTAAAGAATCCAGGCTTCTTGAAGTGTTGGCTACTGCTTAAAAAGCACTTATCCTCATGTTAAAGACATACAAAGGTGCAAAAATAACAGCCTGAGGAAATGGGTGTTACAGAAGCAGGGTATTGCCATGGAGTTTTAGCCCACACATATCTTGGACATTGTATTATTTTATTTTTCTCTAGATGAAGATAATTAAAATAATGCAATCTCTTTTTCTCTAGCATTGTGGAGACTTTTTTTCCAAATTACTTGGATAACAACCAGGATGGGAATACGTATGTTTTTCTTGAGAGTTTTTTGTTTGGTTGTTTATTTTTTCCTGGGGCAGGTAAAGGAAGGAAAAGGTTCTATGGATATATGAATATATGGATTTTTATATGGATGACTGAGTTTTTATTAAACTCTTAACTAATTTTAGGTAAAATACAAGTCACTTCTTCCATGTCTGGTATGTCAGTGAATAAACATACTTCAGAAGTGAATTCCTGAAGACAAATGAAGTGTCTGTTCTCATTCATAAGCAGACCTGACTACCAAGTGCAGGTGAATTTGTGTGCTTCAGACACTTTGGGTACAGGACAATAATTTGTCATATTAGATATATTTTTAACTAGAACTAGAATGAAAAATAAGAGAATGCTTAAAAAAAAAAAAAGAGATATCTTTTAAAAGCCTTATCAGTCTTCTTGATCTTTAAAGGCCTAGAATGAGGGTTTTGGAGGCGATTTCAACAGAGTTGGAAATAGAGTTCTTCCTGAATCTGACACTTTAGGAATTAATAGAGCAAATAAAATGTGTCCTTTTTTTTTGTTAAAAAAAGTCCAAAAAAGACAGTATCAGTTAATTAAATGACTGAACAAGTAAGAGTATTTCCTACTGTTACCAGTACAATAAATCTAACAATATGGGTATAGTTATAATGTATTTCACTTATAGAATAAAATAGTATTGAATTTCTTGAGCAGTAGCCTTAACAATGAAGGCTCAGTATGAGTTCTCCATTCTGATTTTTATCTAAAATACCTAGTTTAAAATGAGTAGAATTTAAACTCATTTAATTCTGTCTTAAGTCATTGAACTAGATCTAGTACAAATTTTCATTGATCATAATCACTGCTACTTGTAGGTTTTTTTGTGGCCAGTTATCAAGCACGTTGCTGATTTCTCTTTGAACCCTTGGAGAAGAGGTTTGTGTTATTGCTTTGAATCATCAATTTGGTAACAAGACCACCAAATTTGGATGAGCTTTGAGACAAAGCTTAGATAATAATGCCTTTACCCAGATTTTGCAGCCAAAGGCAAGCTAACCCTGCCCATTTTTCAACATCACCAGTTGAAAATCTGCCCTGTATGGAAAGCTGAAGAGATGTGTTAAGCTCGTAGGGGCTCTTACAAGGTTGGAATGTAAAGCTAAATGGTGCAATGGGGTTTCCAATGGAGAATGGGCTCATGTGTAGTTGATATGGAACATGGGCAGATCAAGTTTGTCTTTGCTTGCAAAAGACTCATCCTAGTGGAAAATCAGGATGAAATATATTGGTGTTTAAATGTAATGGAGCCTGTTGCCAGTGTTTTAGAAGTCCTTACTGGACTGATGAATAGAAAACTGTTTCCAAGGCTGTCCCTGCTGGAGATATCTGGGCAGGAGAAGGAAGTGTAGCGTTCTCAAAGTAGTAAAATGAACTATTGATTTCCTACATTTGATTGCAGTAGCTTTATTTAGAAAGTTGAACATGCTTCAGATTTAAAAACAAACCAACCACCAAACAAAACTAAACATTTGCTTGATGGAATAAGCTTGGCATAATAGTATCAAGCTAATGAAGTGGACTTTTTTTCTGAATGTATTGCTTCCTTGTTAGCAACTTTGGTTTTTATGTGGTATATTAACTTGGTGATGTTTTTCATCCGGATTCATAGGTTCCAGCCTGAGGTGGTCTCTTTTCTGGCTTGCTCTGCCTTAAATTTAAAAATTGTGTTGCTTTATCCTCTAAAATATGAATATAGAGTTGGGTTTGTAACTTGTGTGGCTTTAAGACTCGAATTAAGCTGTCATTATGAAACTTAATCCATGCAATCATATCTGTGCAGTGGAAAGATGGGTGGGAATAGAGGAAAGTATTGTAAATAAAACATTGTGGGCAGAGCCATTTGTTTTATATTTTCTCATTGCTCAGTTGTTTTTAAAAAGGTTTCTTTGCAACCCTGTGTACTCAAATGATATTAACGCGTACCTCGTATCCACGGTAGTGAGACTTATATTTCACAAAGCAATGCAACATATTGAATGCAATTTTAGATGCCTTATTAGACCATCTTCTTTGCTTTCAGCTTTCTAATTTGTCTTCATTGGGACCAATTCCAGCACTTTAAACCCCTGGCTGCTCTAAGGTTTTGCTGTCCAAAGAAACAAACAAAATCGCTTTTCTAATGAAGTGTGTCCTTCTGTTCTCAGCTATGAACTTGCAGAACAGTAGTAACTCATGGGCTACAAGTAGATTTAAAGTTACTTTTTATGCAGTTATTATAATGTAAATAGGGGGGTACAAGTGTTTGTTCCTATATTTGGCATGCAGACAGCAGGAAGTGTAGCATGAGTGAAGGATCACTCATTTAGAAGTTCCTGATGAGTACGGAGTCTAATTTTTATAGACTGAGGTAGAGTTCTAATGGAAAACAGAACAGATGATCTTAGTCTCCCTCAGCTGGTTCCCTAATGAACCACCTTGTTATGAATGTGAGCAAGTCCAGAAAAGGCCAAGATTATTCGTATCTAAACTGATGTGCATAATCCAGTGAGACTCTGGTTAATATACAGGATATAATACAAATTAAGGCAACTATATGAAATGTAAAAATACTTAGCTTTTTTGGTTTACATATTTATTTTAAAGTGTATATGTGTGTGTATATATATATCAATATACACACTTGGTCAGCAATTTATTTTTCATTATTCTTTGTATTTAAAAAATAATCCGGCAGTTGGGTGGACACTTTTACAGAGCAGAAGACTTCACTGGAGAAAGTGGGGACGGCTTTTCATTTACATTTAAAAAATATATATTATTTCTTTAGCACCTATATCTAACCTCTGGGTGTGTTTTCTGGAATTCTTATTTTTTCATTAAAATTCTACTTCTGGCTCTCATGTCTGGTCTGTTTGGTTTTAATATCATAGTTATCTCTAGATAAACACAATGAGTCAGGACATTTGGAGTTACAAAGTAGAGTTCTGTTTAAAAAAAATTAAAAGTTTTACTATAGTTTTGAAGTCCTGTACTTCTCTGAGTAGAAGCTTTTAACAGAAGGTGACTTTCCTAACAAGATTCAGAAAATCATCTCCTGCAGAAGTATTAACTTTTATCAAGGCTTCCCACATGTTGTACTCATAAAGCCCTGTTCATTGTGAGCATGAGACCCAAATCTGGTCTGTCACTTATTAGAAAATGATTATTTATTCAGGGAGTTTTGATTCCTAAATAAGGTGTGCATATCTGGTGACACACTTTGTCTCATTATGTGGTAGCAGCACTAGCAAATAATAAAGGCTTTTTAATGGCAACTGCTAAAGTTAGTCTTTTTATCATGTGTTAGCAATGGCAGGTTTTTTTATCTGACTTGGAGACAAATTAACAGTCCTTTTAAAATGTTTATGAAAACTATAAAAATAAACTGGTGAAAGAAATGAGAAGCTTTTTTACCTGGAATTCTGTTGATAAATGCTATATAGACCCCAGTGGACTATACTTCTTGTGGTGTAGGTAATTAATTCTTTTGGTTGCTTTTGCTTTCTTAAAAAACAACCCAGCTTTCTTTCAAAATGACATCAGTGAAGGGCTGACTGAACTGAGTAACAAGAGGATGAGAATTTATCTCAGCTTACTGGGTCCAGTTCAGAGCTGACTGGGGTGGAAGCAGCTCCTCTGGATTCCTGGGGAGTTTTGCTCTGCTTGGGAAGTATTTGGGGTGTGTGTCAAGTGTGTGATGAAATGTCCAGGGACGAGAGAGTAAGTGTGTTATAAAATTCTTCTTAGAAATATAAGGCTTCTGAGTAATAAGGGTGTTATAGAGTTCTTAGAAATATAAAAGTAGTTTTCAGGTATTTTTTTTAAAAAAATAAATGTCCTGGTACTGTTCTCTAAAGACAGAATAGAAAAAGTAATTTTCTAGATGAAGTCTTCAGTTTTTTTAATCAGTGGCTTCTGCTTCACAGTGTTTATCCTTTTTGTCAAGCTTAGAAAATGAAAATGGGTTGAATGAGAAAGATGGTATTTGCCAAGCAGTGGTCCTGACGATGAATATAATGAACATGTATTCCCATCAGCATAGCTGCTTGGTATGCCAAGCCCATTTTATTCACACTTGCCCCTTCCCCCTGACACACCACCCCCCCACAGAGCCCCCCTTTTAATTTTTTTTTTATTTTTTTTTTTTTGCCATTGGTTGAGAAACAGCAGTGGCTACTGAACTGGGGCAATGAGGTGTTACTATTTTGTGTTGTCTTCAACTATCCCCCTCTTGTGAAACTTGTGGTGGCCACAGGATATGTGAAGCCAGATTGGATGGCTGAAGTTACCAAAGTTTTGCCAGTTGAAGTGGAGGTTCAGAATAATGCCAGCTGGACTGTTCCACTCCTCCAGGTTTTGCTTTAAAATTGTGTGGCAGGGTGAGAAGGTGTTTGAATTTCAGACCTCTACACATATTTCAGCTGATGTGCAGACCCTGGATGGTAAAATGTTACTTTACTGACCTGAAGTTTGCTTTTCTTAGTTGATTTTTGTGGAGAAATAGTTAGAAAATTACCAATGTCCACATCAGATCACCACAATAAAACCCAACAAATACGGTGTGAGTGTGGGGTTTTTTTAAAATTTTTTTTAATTTTTTTTTCCTCTCCCCACTCTTTGACTGCAGTAGTGACAAAACACCACTTACTATATTCAGCCTTTTTTATGACTAG